CCCCTACTGGACCAGAGTACGTCCTGATACAAAATGACTATCTGTCCTGAAGACTTTGAGGCTAACCACACCGGCAGTTCTGGGAGCTTCCTGAATCAACCGAAGATGTCTTTAGCCTTTTCACACCGGCCGACATACGACGCACGCGCGATCATGCCTTGCCCAACTTCCAGACACTTCTCCTCGCAGTCACCTCGCGACTAACTGTTTTGAAAAACCATCCCTCGTTTCCCGACCCTGATCTTGCCCCCGAGCGCGATGTCCTCAACTGCATTCGGATCCTCACTCGCCTCCTCCCCTATGTTTACGAGGCGGAGCATCTGGAAGAATGGGAGGATAATTTCTTCTGGACAGCTCGAAGGAGGAGGACCAGACAGTCACAAATTTCTGGGGAGGTCCTCTTTGACGAAGCACAACCGGAGGATAACCAAGAGGCGACATCGCCACGCGCAGAGGATTACGAAGATGTAAAGCCTCTTGCCGAGGAGTTGATAGACACATTGATGGACTTGCTCTTCTTTGCCGACTTCACAATCCCTCGACTTCCAAGTGCAAAGAGCAAGGTCTCTTTTTCAATTTGGCAGAGTGGCGTTGGCTGCAACACGGCTATGGGGTCCAACAAAACATTGGAGAGTAACCGATGCGAGATTCTACGGCTTATGCTTACACTGACTGGAAAGGCCATGTATTTGCCATCTAGTGAGTCCGGAGTCTGATGCGGCCAAGGTATTCCAACATTTACTAACTAGTATAGATACATTGCCCGTCCAAGGCGTCAAGGCAATTACTTACATCACAACTTGCCAAGATAAGCAGGCTGTCTTGACCCTCCTTTGCTCCCTTCTCAATACAGTATGTTCTGCTCAATCGGCGGTGGGAGCCATGCTAATTCAAAATAGGCAATGAAGTATAACCCTGCGTCGTGGAGAGTCCCATATGACCATGTTGTTTGGAAAGACCCCAAGCAGATATTGGTGATCTATTGCGTGCAACTTCTTCTTGTCCTCTTGGTGTATCCCATTCCAGAAGACGGCCGTGGAACTCCACCGAAGAATTATTATCGCCATTACTTCGGCAGGCTACATAGACCTCAAGATTTCCAATTCCTGGTAGATGGCATGACGAGAATTCTGAACCAGCCGGTATTTACTCTCTGCTAAACCATGTATTCAGAAATTATACTAATTGATCAAACCAGATGCAAGCCACTGCTTCTTATCTCCCTGGGAGTCAAAAATCGGTGAAATGGGCCCCTGAGATGTTGGTCCTTTTCTGGGAGACCTTGCAATGCAACAAAAGGTTCCGGTCATTTATCATCGACTCTAATCGCTCTCATGACTTCCTTGTCCTATGTATCTTCTATGCGATGGAGTATAGAATGGATGCTTCCAAGCAAGGAATAGTCCGGATGTGCGTTTTCATCCTTCAGACGATGAGCGCGGAGCCAACATTTGGGAAGAGTCTAAACAACAGCTTCGAAGCCCAAGAAACCTTACCACAGTCGATCCGGCTACTCAAGTTCCGGGGGTCTTATGCCGACTATTTGATCATGGTTTGTCTTTTGCCCTCCAACATCATACCACCATACTAACCGCCTCAGTCGATTCACACGTTGATGACAACCAGCAAAGGGAATCTGGACACTGTATATCCCGCCCTTTTGATCATCCTCAACAACATTGCTCCCTATATCGAACACATCTCTCCGAGCGCCTGCTCGAAGGTCATTCAATTTTTCTCTTCTATGTCTGCGCCCAGCTTCTTGTTGGCAAACGAGACCAACCACACTCTTCTTGCATCGTTGCTTGACTTCATCAACATTATTCTCGAGCACAAGTTCACCGGTAAACTCCCTACCCGGATCTTCTCCTTCGGCCAAGCCATTTCTGACTTTATCTAGCCAACCCATATCTTGTCTATTCGATACTGAAATATAAGCAACGCTTTGAAGCCGTGCGGGCTTTCACTCTCGAGAGTGGCCAGCAAGAGATTGAGCGACAAAATGAAAAGCGGAAAGCTGGTAGTTCTTCAGATGTCGCCGTCAGCCCTACACTTTCACAGTCAGATGATGATCTACACACACCTTCGGGTGCCCGGTCGCCGTTGACTAGAATTCCCGAAGAGAACAGCCCATTTGCAATTGGCGATGACGATTCCGATGAGGAACGTGAGGAAGAGGGAACACAGACTCCATCTCAATCATCATTCTCAGCTCAAACCTCACGTAGACCATCCGTGACATCCACTATAGATGAGAACGGGGCTCAGCAGGTGCGGGCAATGTCCGAAAAGGCACGGGGAAAGAAACCTGCTGGGCATCCTCCTTTCTCCCGACAGAACAGCATGACCAGTCAGACAAGTATGTCTGCTATATTCACTCCCTCTGCCAGTGGCTTCACACCAACCGTCCCATGGGTAAGTCTATACAGATCAAACCACCTTTCCTCCAAATTTTTCGCTACTAACAACATTTCCCAGCTCGAGTCCTGGTTGCCCGAACTGCCTTTGCACACGATCCTCACCATCATCTCAGCCATTGCACCTCACATCCCTGATGCAGCGCTTGCAAGCGCAGCTAGCCCGGAGGCCCGCACACTAATACATAACCTCCCATCATTTGCTGAAGAGCCCGAGGTTACAAGTATAATCTCCGAACCAACCCCCGTTCGCGTGCAATCATTCGAGTGGTCAGCACTTTCCATGGGCTGGTACGAATCGCTACTGTGGGGCTTCATCTTCTCCAGCGAGATGGTAGTCGGCTCCGCTTCTGGTGCAACTCCAGGAACAGTTGGTGTCTGGAACGGCACAGCCATTAAACTCTTCAGAGTACAAGAAGCTGCTGCTCAAGGCCCAACCTTGCTTGCGCCCAAGGGTGCAGTTGATGCAGTGGGCAGTAACCTGGTCCAACGCATCGGAAACCTCAGCCTTCGGGGTCGGAACTCACAAGACTCCGGAGCTGCCTCTTCACCAAGTGTGCGGGAGGTTTAGGGTCATATTCCCGTGACGTACATAGTTTTTCATTCACTACTTGATCTCTTCTTTGACAATCTCGCTATCATCCGTCCTCGAGCTTCTTGGGTGACAGAGCTAGTCTTGTGATTTTCATGTTTTTTTAGCACTTTCTGGCATTCGTGCCAAACATCATACATTACTATTCTCGATTTTCTTGTAGTAAACAATAGGCCGCGCATCTTGAGTATTTGGGTGATCTTTTTCTAATAGTCAAGGAATCTACCATATGATAGATAAAAAACAGCTATGTACTCAAATCATGAAATATTCCACCTCGACCTTATGGTCATGGATACAAACCCCCTAGTAAACACGTGAGTCCGAGTTCCGATCGTCATTACAATTTGCCTCTTCAATTTTCAGTCAATTCAATTGCGCCTTCTCTAAACTCCAGCTCGATACGTGAAGGGAAATCAATTGATTGGGTAATTTTGTCCGCTCATGCTCTCGGCCGTGATGTTATTCCTCTCTGGCGTTATTGTGTCTCTCCTCGCGGGTCCGGATCCAGCCATTGCGGCGATCACCTCTAGCCTCCAGAGCATCTTGGGAAACACCCACGGCAGCTCAGACTATGGGTATCCCACTGACTTAACAAGAGATCTCTTACCTGTGAGTTTATTTGCGGTATCATATATCGATAAACTCTCTATAGGGCTTTCGGCCATCTGGACAATGTTAACCCTGGCGAATGTCTAGATCCCTGTTCATTCTCACAAGTAAGGATACTTCTCATGGTGCTCGCTCCTAATTAATCATATACTGATTATATCAAAGTGACTATTGGCGAGACGAACCTTTCTATACCGGTATGTTTAAGCTCTAGTACCTAATGTCTAATTACCCCTAACATTACCATGCACAGGCCTCTCGCATGGCTGCACATCTACCGAAGCTGATGTCTGGCTATACAACGGTACCCTCTATGTGAGTTTAGTTAAGCTATGCGATATTCCCCGCTTTTCTGGGTAGCAGACTAACCAAGCAAGGTTGGCCATGATGAATCTGCCCTGACGGAGTCACGTACACTTGAATCCTTGTATATCAATCCAATTCTAGACGTTCTGGCGCGCCAGAACCCCGATAGTCCATTTATAACATCGCCTACTAAAAAGTGAGTATCTGACCAGGGCCCAATATGGTTTCACAGCTAATTCTTTATTAAAATAGCGGTGTGTGGGATACTGTTCCCGACCAAACACTTTACTTCTTCATCGATGTGAAGACATCCGGCCCAGAGACGTTCAAAGCTGTCATTGCTGCTTTAGAACCTCTACGAGAGAAGGGCTATCTTACTACCGTCAAGGATGGCAAGACCGTTATCAATGGTCCGGTCACTATCATTGGCACGGGAGAGACGCCATTCGACATGGTTGCACCCATCAAAGACCGAGACTACTTTTTCGATGCCCCTCTCGCAGATCTCGATGATCCCAAGTATGCCGACGTAACTGGCGTTATCTCACCCGTTGCTTCAACAGATTTCCAGGCAGCCGTCGGCAAGATAACCGCCGACACGGATCCAATTCTCTCAGACGACCAACTCAAAGCTCTCCGAGAGCAAATCGCCACTGCAAATGAGCGCGGAATTGGTGCTAGATATTGGAACACGCCGTACTTCCCAATTCGTACCCGCAACCTTGTGTGGAGGACTCTTTTGAGAGAAGGGGTCATTCTGCTCAATGCCGATGATTTAGATGCTGTTGCGTCTCATTTCTGAGTAAAGCCATGCCCCACAAGTGATATTAAGGCCATACAGTACCTCATGCGCCCAATTACATTGACACCCCTCGCGTGGCCTTTTACTGGGATTTGGGTTAATAGCCCTGGTCGGGTTTCCTTCCGAGCGCTTCCTTGATTCAAAGATAGAAAGTACCGGCTCCTCCTTCAATTCGATATTCATGTGTCTCAACTCTCCGTCTTTACCCTTCCTAAGACTTCCAAGATAAAGACATGCATTAACTCCTCCCAAATGGGTACCATATCATGTCTCACTCGCTTCGCAGGCATAAACGGCACTTATGTGGCGAATTCTTGACATCGATATGCTGGATTTGACGGCCAGCACAGCGTTCGTCCTCTTTTTCCATGTGGCGTTGACATTTTATGAACTCGCCGCCTGTGGAGTGGCCACAGGCGTACCGGATCTGCAGCTGGATGCATACCTCCTGCGTGTTGAGGTCAGGCACTGGGGTGCAAAGTTAGTGACTTGTTTGAGCACAACGAGGTGACACAAATGTAGGCTCACCTGTGAGGTCTCCAGAACGTCTGTGAGACATCATGATAGGTATTCTCAGAGTAATGAAGTTGAGGCTCTGTTGCGCTTGATGTAAGTATTGTAGAAGCCATGCATTTCGTGTCCGATAAAATATCAATCACACTAGTCTTACTCGCCTTAACCGGTATTTATAGTCCTGCTTGTGTCCACAAGTAGCAGTTTCAGTGGTGGATGGAAGTCGTGGATGTCGGAAAAGACAGGCGAAGCGAAAGAACTGATGAGCAAACAGAGGTTCCACGCTTTTCAACACAAGGTATTGGCTCATATTACTACAAGGGTAGATGGCCGCGCATGCAGCCTTCTGGTGTCTGTTTAGTAGTCTTTTTTAGTATCTTTTAGTGGTCTCAGATATTCTATTTCCAATATAGATGCCTTTAAGACATTCTCTCGCCCTTCTCACTTTTACATGTAGATGGTAAAAAAGGGGCAGGAAATGCATCCTTTGTGCAAGAGATTTTCTATGTATAACTTTTGATATATGTATTGAGCAGCACAAAGCACCCCCAAGTTCTTTCACTCACGTATTCTACATAACCAACCCGGTCTTAATTCCATTGCTGACACCTCCACTCCCTCACTACCTACACAGTTGAACGACCCGATCAAAACGCTCTAGCCAAATGTCAACATATCAACCTTCCTAAACCGGCAGTCCATCTATGTTCCTGGCACGTGATCTCCAAGGGGCGCGAAATCGAGTTCCGCGGTCTCCAGCTCCTCTCTTCACCTTTTCCACGACTCTCATTGGATGAACGAGAATGGCGGCAGATCTGGGAGATCTCTTGGCCAAGGTGCTCCCCACCGGGGTTGAGATCACCGTTCGCCATGTCTCCTCAACACCCATTCCATGCGAAGCTCTCTTTGCAGCTCCGCCGGGCCAGGTCTCCGAACCGACATTCTGCGAAAATCATTTCCTCTCAGTGTCAATTGACTCCAATGATGACGGTGAGACAATTATCTTCGGAATGGAGGTGATGGTCTACAACACGGCCCACTTGACCACCATCTTCGTCTCCAAGGCCGACTCGACTGGTTTCCTGCATCTCCTAAAATTGCCACGCAAGGTGTCTATCCTGAGGCTGGTCTCTAACACATTTCTCTCATTTCTGGCTCGGACCCGCCAACGGCCCGGTGTACGACTGGTCGTGTCGCTGTTCGCCCGCGCCCAGAATCAGTACCTGTTCCCGGGCAGCATTGAGAACCCCGAAAAGCACGTTCTGGACGATCGAGGCCTAATCAAATGGTGGTGTCGTGTTCTAGATCCAATTTTACGCGAGCACGAACCAGAATCTGCTCTTCAAGAACCGAAAGCGCTGGATCAAACAGTCGAAGCTGCCAAGGCCTCTGCTACCGCATACTTGATCGTTCCAAGCTGTGACCGCTTTGAGACTCGCAATTTCTTCCCGCCTACGGCCAAGGCCGATGCGAAAGATCGCCCACGGTGGCTCAACAGCTACCCACTGAAGCAATTGTGCCACGACCCCTCGGCTCCTCCTCGCTGCTTGGTACCTCGTTTCCCAGATGATCCCAAAACTCGTTTCCTCATCGACCTGGATAGTGAACTTCCCGGGGAGAAGGAAGGTCAGCCCGCCGCCGCTAATGTCGGACGCTGGCGTAGCGTACGGTCCTTGGACCAATTCTGGGAGATGATGTCTTTCCGTCAAGAATGCTCTGCTGGTCGGTTAGTCGGCTTCTTATGGTTGGTCATCAATCCTCCTGGTCTGATGAACTCGACATCAATGGAAAGCCAAACACGTGGTTCCTCTGGCAATGGCCCAGTCTCCAACGGAACACAGATTTCTGAGACCATTGCGAACGAAGAGAAAGCACGGAGTGGCTCTAGCCAGTCTGAAGAAAACGCCACTTTAACAGAGGCAGCAACAAATTTCACGACTGCCGATACTTCCCCCAAACTTCCCTGGGATGATGGATCTAGCACTGTCAACCCTTTCGACTGGCCAGAGGCCGGGCGTGGACAGGTCGTCCTCGGCGAAGCTGACTACAAAACGATGATGGATTCGGTTCTAGACCATTTCTATGACGAGAAAGAAGTCATCGCCAGTACCAAACTCTACGTTGACCAAGTTTCTTCCCTGGCGGACGAGCTTACATGGGGGAAGAAGGTTGTCGGCAGCAATGCCACGAGCACCGCTACCTCCCAGCCTGTCAATACCAATCCAAACAATGTCCTAGATCTAGGACTGATCCGCAAGCGAAAGAAGTCATTGGGCGAAGGCAACACGCCCGTCGTGAGTGGTATCCAACCACCGAGTGAATCGAAGGACACACAACCAGCCCCGTCAGAGCCGGCTGGTGTCAATGTGCTCAATGCGAGTTTGGTCCGGAAGAAGAAGAAAACATGATTAATGGGAGTTTACATTTGGTTTCAGTATCATGGGGATAGGTCTCGGAGTTTGGAGGAAATCGTTTTTTTGGTTTTTTTTGTCATATTCCTATTCGAGACTAAACGAATAGAATTTCGGGAATGGAACTACATAAGTACTTATCTATACATCCGGAGCTTCCGAGCAGGCAACTATTTTGCAAGCAGCCAGCTATTTATTTCGATATTTAGAGTAGTCTGGAAGAGAATGTTATCTGGTTGGTCCAATGCACGTGTCCTGTAGATTTCTCGGCGGGGACAGCTGCTAAAAATGATTTCCACCCGCATCCGATTGCTCCTCCTTCTCCAGAATGTCATTCTCTTCTGCGTCTGCGTTTATGTCGCCTTCTCTTCGTGTCTCATGCTAAAGCCTACCTTTTCGTTCCTCGGGTCTGACGATGACGCGCTCAATGTGTCCGTCGCAGTCGGTTGGATTGCCCTGATCTGGTATACATTCATACTGGGAGTTTGCGGCCTGGGATATTTTCAGATGTATGGTTCCGACTACTATTCTGAATTAAAATATATCACTAATGCAATTGCTTTCTGCTCAGATGGAAATATTTTCTCGGCCAGCCGCATCGGTCACGGCTAACGAATGCCTCCGACGCACCGCACGTCACCGCCATCCGGCCTGTCAAGGGCCTCGAGCCACACCTATATGACTGCCTCGCTGCCACCTTTCGGCAGGACTACCCATGGGACAAGCTCAGCATTCGTCTCTGTGTATCAACACGCGACGACCCGGCCTACCCTACCCTTCGCAAGCTAATCACCGACTTCCCGCATTTTGACGCGCGGATTTTAGTTGAAGACGAAGATCCGCTTTTGCAGCAAGATGGCAACAATTTGTACGCGCTCGGACCGAATCCCAAGATCCGGAATATGAGCCGCGCATACCGTGAAGCGAAAGGAGATATCGTCTGGATCATTGACTGCAATGTCTGGGTCGGGAAGGGAGTCTGTGCCCGGATGGTGGACAGACTGTGTGGGACTGGGCCTTCGTCCAGGAAGAAACATAAGTTCGTGCATCATCTACCCGTGGCTGTGGATGTGACAGGAGAGAGCAACCTACGTGAAGAGCGGCAGGCGCTCGTGGATGCCAACCCGCAAGCTACGGCTTCTGATACGGCGGCCGCAGCGATGCCGTGCGTGCGTCCGGAGGATGGGCCTGCAGCCATGATCGCGACTGGAGGCGGTCGCTTGGAAGAGCTGTTCCTGTCCTCCGCGCACGCGAAAATGTACACCGCGATCAACACTGTTCTCGTTGCGCCGTGCATCGTTGGAAAATCCAACATGTTCCGCCGCTCCCATCTCGACTATCTCACCAGTTCCTCGCCGTCGGGTCCCGAGGCTCGCCATCCCGGCATCGATTTCTTCTCCGACAACATTTGCGAAGATCATCTGATCGGTGATCTGCTGTGGAGGAAGCAGGTGCAGGAAGAGAAAGAGCTTGGCGAGCGTTGGGGCAAGCATGCCATGGTCTTTGGTGACATGGCTATTCAGCCTGTTGCCAACATGAGCGTGCCGGCATACATCGCTCGTCGTGTCCGATGGCTGCGAGTGCGTAAGTTTACCGTTCTACTTGCTACGCTTGTCGAGCCCGGCACTGAGTCATTCCTATGCACAATCTATGGTGCCTGGGGCATCACAACCGCCTTGGCCCCGTATCTTGAGCGAAAAGACGTGCAATTTGCTGCCCATCTTGGAACCTGGACTGCATTTTTTGTTTTGTTCGCACTCGGCATGGTCTCCTGGATCTTGATCGATTGGACATTGTATATCAAGCTGCATTCGGCGAAATGCATTGAATTGGATGAGGATACCCCGGTTTTTGCTCGGCCTCAACGCTACCGATCATCCCAAACTACTCGCCGCCCGTTCATGCAATGGTTTGCCGCCTGGCTCGGCCGCGAACTGCTGGCCCTGCCCATCTGGATCATGGCGGTGTATGGCGGTGTGACAGTCGTCTGGCGAGACCGGCGCTTTAAGGTCGGCTTCGATGCGAAAGTTCGGGAGATTGATACCCCCACTCTGTCTGTGGATGTTTCGTCTTCTACCCGGGCGGTAGCGGGCAAGGTCCGCAGTGATTGAATTGATGTGTAGATGAGAGCATACGAAGGTTATGTATACTAAAGCAGCAAAGCCCTGCAACGTCTGTCAATGTAATATTATGATGGAGAAAATCAAAAATGCATTAATATAGACACTAACAAACAACATATGCAAATGAATAGAATGTACCCATATCTCCGATTCTATGCGTGAAATCTTAAACTTTTCTTCAATCATTTCCCTACCCATAAAGGCGATGTCATCCCGAGACCTCATTGATTTAAATCAAGCAGATCCATTAGCCTCGCCCTCGGTAGCCCCCTTCTCCAAACTAGCACCAACATCGGAATTCAGGAGCCACTCAACAACCTGTCTGCCTGCAGACATCTCACCAGCACTCTCACCAGACTTCTCCTCGCCCTCGTTCTCTCCAATAGTCATCTCAATCTCCTGAGTCTGGCCATCATTGCCCTCAGCACCCTCCGCTTCCTCGTCGCCCTCAACAGCAGCCCACGCCGTCCGCTCAGCGAGGAACACAGCGTCGTGACCAGCATCGTTCTTAACATCAAGGTCTGCGCCAGCTTCGACAAGAGCCTTAACGCATTCCAGGTGCGCGTTAAGCGCAGCCCAGTGCAAGGGCGTGTTGCCAGAGTTGTTGCGGTGGTTAACAAGCGCGGTACGCTGGGCAGCATCTGCGGATGACAGCTTTTGGATCAGAGCTTTGAGGATTTCTAAGTGGTGTTAGTAAATACAAGAAAGATGCGGGAGGGGAGAGAAAACAAATTATTTGACATGACATGTAAAAAAGTCGAAGCCAAATAATTCGTTCAATTGACATACCTGCGTTTCCATTCGCAGCGGGGAAGTGCAGAATGCAAGATCCCGAGCCGCCCTCGCTCTCATCAGCCATGTCGATGGCGGATGCCACGATCTGAGACTCGTTGCAGCTGTGTTGGCTGGCCAAGTTGGCGACGTCCTCATTTAGGGCCTCGAGGTCACCTGCTCGGGCGTCATAGATAAGATCGTCAACCGCCTCGGCGGAAAGTGCGATTGGCACTGAAGGCTTTGCCTGTGATGATGTTGAAGTGGACATGATTTATGATGGATAATGAACCAAGTGTTTGGTATTCTTTTTAGTAGGGGTTTTTTGATATCCCACTTTATTTGATGTAGCTAGAGTGGGGTGTCAGTAAGAAGTCGGTTGTTCACGATTTGAAGATGGCAAAACAAGTGACAAGAAGACAAAGGATGTGATGTCTGTAAAGTCATAAATGACTTTGGGAGAATTGGGGATTTTGCGTAGTACGACAGCCTGCGCCCCATGATATATCCATGCTTTGCAATTCAAGGTCGTCGATAAGCATGTCAATGTCAAGGACAACAGCCACAAGATGGGAAACGGTGCTCAAGATGTTTTTCCACGAATTTGAAAGTCAATAATTAGGGAGTACATTCAATCTTACCTTTGCTTTCAGTTCTTTGTTTTCTAGCGTGAAGTATCCTGGCAACAAATGAAGCGATCGTCGCAAAAAATAATTTGATATCGCCGGTCATGTGACTGATAGTGGGCTATCAGTCAACGGTACAACAATAGACGTCGAATGAACATGGATGCCAATCACGAGACGCGCATACTACGAATTCAAATTACGGAAAGAGTCTCATGTCGAGACGATCATTATGTTGATACAGGATACATGGTACAAATGACTTTACACAATCGTGGAGAGGCAGACGGACTTCCGGTCTGCCTCTATCCACATGCAAGGCAGAACGCCCAGAGAAGAACAAATCAATCAAGCTCAAACGCCGAGTCCCACATCCGGTGGGATGGTATCAAAAGACTCCGAAATGGCAATGCGACGGGTGGCAACGAGAGAATACATCAAACAGCCCTCCGTCCCTCCCAGAACTCAAACAAACAGTCAGCCACAAGCGCCTAATCTCTGAGCCAAGCCCGCCTCTTCTCTTCCTTCTTCTCACGACGCTTCTCCTTGAACTGCTTCAACTCTTGCTTTGTCAACTTCTTGGCGCTGCGCTCTGCACGCAAGCTCCGGCCATCGTGGCTGTTAGCCGCGGCGTCAACGTCGAAGAAAGCGTTCATCTGTCGCCGAGACTTGTTCTCGTCATTGTGATTTTCCGGATTGATTGTGTCAGCTTGCCATCGTCCAGTGAAACGATTGAATGTGCCGGTAGCTGTATATGCTGCGGATGGGTCGAGACCGACTGCGCTCGTGGGCTGTTCTGGCTCTTCGTGGTATTGCGCATACGGTGCCGTGGGGTCATAATCACCGTGGATCGCGGGATTGTAGCCACCAAGGATTGGTTTCTTTTCCGGGGCTGCGCTTTGGTGGCTGTCTGCTGTGCCGGGTGCAGCTGGGGTCGCTGCGACTGCTGGGACCTGGGGCACACGGGGATTTTCCCACTGTGAGACTCCGCTGAAGCGGTTGTAAAAGTAATATGCTTGTGCGGTGGCGTCCCATGCGGGTTCCCATCCATCATCCTCGGCCTGTGCGGGCGGAGCCTCGGTGGGAAGTGGTGGTGGGACTTCATCGGGGAGTGGTGGTTCAGATGTCAGTTCACCTTGTTCGCGTTCATCGGAATGCGATTTCGATATCTCAGTCTCCGGTTCCTCAGTTGGTTGGGGTCCTTCATTCTTTGGCACCTCGAGTTCCGGACTGTCGATGTCATGCTTGGCTTCCGTCGCAGGGTTCGACGGAGCAGGGCTGGGTGAGCCACTGGCGCGCTCTTTCGAGGCAGATACTGATGTTTCTGGTGAGTCAGACATTCTGGGCAATGGAAGCAATGATTCTTGCCGAAAGGTAACCAATTGACAAAAGAGAAAGAGAAGGATGCGCAATCTACCAGTCGAAATGCATGGTCCGTGCGGGGCACCTTGGCGTCACCGCCTACTTTAATGGGACAGTCTATACGCTAGCCCTACTAGGATTAGCGTGAAAGTATACAGGCTTTTAGTGCACCAACACCGGAGCATGATCTCACTTCCCTGTCAGAATAACAAATGGTTACTATGTTGAACTCTTCTACAGCTCCGCGTTGTGGCTCAGCATCGTGGCTTTGACTTCGATGGCATGGCACCATGCTAGTAGTTGCCATCTCGGCATTCTCAACATGTTACTAAGAGTCCCCCCTTCGTGGAGGGTTCATCTTGATCATCCCGTTGTGAGTTCTCACATAGTCTACACAGGTTGAACACAGTGATTGATTTCTCTATTTCTGGTTTGGCCTGATTTGTTGTTGATTTGTTTCTGGGATACAGTGCAAACTGCAATAGTGAATTCTGGCCATGCACTCAGACGGGTATCTCAGGGGCATGTTCTCGGGAGTAAGAAGATACCTTGCCATCTGTAGCTCGCAATTCCCTCTACCCTCCGTATGAGGTCCCTAGGGAAATTCCATGTGGAAAGTCAGCCATATTTAATGAGTACAACTAGCAAGAGAAAAGAAGACGATGGTTACTTATTAGGCAATTGTTTGCAATGCGCGAGCAGGAATGTCGTTGAGTATTTATGGTTCTATATCCCTTTCACTTGTTTTAACACCTCGTGGGTCGTAGATATAAGGACAAACAATAGCTAAAGGTTTTTTATACTCCGTCAACGATCTGTGAACAAGAATTGAAATTTTTAGTCGAAACCCGAACGTTCGATCTATAAAACTACAATAACATGGAGAACCATTAGATCGTAACAAAAAACCCAAGGTATCTGTTTCGGGCCCATGTAAAGGGTCATATCTCTCCTGTTTGTTATGTGACATCTTTCATAATGGCATCGAACTCACATCATATTATAGAAGTCTCTCAGGCAACAACCCGTTTTATAAACTGGTGATATCGCTCGAGATTACCGTGTAGGATGCTGTGAATCGTTCTAAGGTGAATACTGCTTTCCACACTGCTACTCCTTACTTGGATTCTCTACCCCTTTGGACATTCGACTATTTTGAGCAAGATCTATAGCTCGGTTATAGTTATAGGCTGCTCTAATTGGTCTATCAGACTTTATGTCGCTGGAATGTTTCCCCTTGATCAATTCCTCGAACTACAGCGATGTAAGCTCCCTTATTCAAGTACAACCAACTGTTTTACGATGAGCCTGACCTTTCTCCATTGGATTCATCTCGAATTCCTGCATAATAGTGGCTGACATTCCCATCTTGTTTGTTGATGGCAAAGCTTCACTAAGGGGGTTCGAAGAGAATTCTTCCGAACATGTTTGAGTTTAAAAAGGACCATATCCTGGCTGTCTTTGAAGCTATCCAACATCCACTCGACAACATTCGCCAACATCATTCTCTTATTTTCGCTCTTTTTTAGACCCACGCTCAACTCGGGCGTCATTCGCTCATTTTATTATCTTAATTAATTACCGGCTTTAATACTGTGTTCCCCCATTATGAAGGGAATTACTATTCTTTCGCTTTTTGGGGCTGCCGTAGCTCATCCGGCGGGCCTGGTGAGTACTTGAGTTTCCATCTATAACTCAAAGCATAGATCTGACAGAATATCTTAGTGGTGGGGTACCGATCTTTGCTTCACCAGTCCTGAAAATACCGACAATCAGTGCTCGGATGCTCAGGAGGACGGCTTTGACTTGTCTGAGCTACTAAACAGTGACGATTGGGTCTTTGAAGGCAATTCGGACTTTGGAGGCTTCCACTTCGCTGGGCTCGAGCCTAAGGATGATTGTCATGGATACGAGGCAAGTCACTGTCACGCATTTGGAGGCTCTGGATTCTAACCTTTTGAAGGGCGCTTGTCTTGGTGGAACGCTGTCTAGTGATGATGACTGGACAATCAAGATTTCCGCTGACGACGCTCCATTCTCAATCCGAAACTTCCATCTCTCAACTTCCGAGAGCACTGATGTCTTCATCATCTACGAGATGCCTGATGGTTCTTCCTGTCGTCATGTCGCTTCTAGCTCGTCCAACGGAATTGATGTCGGAAACGACCAGTGTGGTGGTGCCGTCTCGGTCGAATTCACGCTTCCAGAAGAAAGCCAGTTCGGCGAATGCGATCTAGAGATTCATTCAATTGACTTTGACTGCTCTACTGGAACCAAGCCACCTCAGCCTCCTGTGCATTGGACCTCGCCTGTTACGCCTGATGCTTCTACCGTTAGCCCCTATGACCCCCCCTCACACTTACCATGAGCCTACCCCGTCTGTTTCCCTGCCTTACGTGCACTGGACCCGGCCTGTGACGCCTGATGCTTCCACCGTTAGCCCCTATGACCCCCCTCACACTTACCATGAGCCTACCCCGTCTGTTTCCCTGCCTTCCGTGCACTGGACCCGGCCAGTGACGCCTGATGCTTCCACCGTTGGTCCCTATGACCCCCCTCACACTCACCATGAGCCTACCCCGTCTGTTTCCCTGCCTTCCGTGCACTGGACCCGGCCAGTGACGCCTGATGCTTCCACCGTTAGCCCCTATGACCCCCCTCACACTCAGCGTGATCCTACCTCGTCTGCTCCGCCGAAGGTTTCTAGCTGGCCGATGACGACCTCCACAGTCTGGACTACCCAGGAGTTCACCGTCACCAAATGCGCGCCTACCATCACTAACTGCCCTGGTCATTCGACTGTATTGGTTACCTCTACCTATCCCTTGTCAACCACGGTCTGCCCATCTAAGCCCGTGGATCCCGAGACATCTACGGTTGTGTACACGCACCCCGCAGTCACGGACCCCATCGACACCACGACCGCTACTGCGCCCAGCCTACCCGTTGTTACCGCCCCCTGCCCCAACGTGGTTCCCAAGTGCTTCAACACATGGCTCTCCATTCCCAAGTGCGACTCCAACAGCGATGCCGCATGCTTCTGCCCATCTACCGAGTTCACAGACAAGGTCAGCTCGTGCATCCGGGCCTGGAGCAGCTCCAAGAGCGAGGAAGATTCCGCCCTTGCTTACTTCGCTGGTATTTGCGCCCCCTTCGTCCCGACGAACCCTGCTATTGTCGACATCGCTTCAACCTACACGAGCACTTTCACTTCTTTGATTTATGTCCCTATCACCACTGCTGATCCTACAACCACACATACGTTTGTTGATCCTGTCAGTGTATCCACGCCTGTCTCTCAGGCTCCTTCTACCACCATCAGCTGGGCCTCGCATACCGCCACTGTTCCCCTTGTTGGGTTCAGCACGGTCACTTGTTCCTCCACAACCTCTGTGAATCTGGTAGTTCCCACTCCTGCGGGCTCTCCTTCTCACACCGGTTATGCGCACGTGTCGTCCTCGACGTTGACGACTAGCTGCAAAACCCCCGCCCCTCTTGGTACACCGACTACCTCTAGGCCCGCAATTCCTTTCACGCCAGTCAAGCCCGCATCCGAGCCAGCTGAAACTGTAGTTTACGGAAATGTTGGATCGAAACTACCTCTGTCTAGTTTCTGGGCTTTTGGTCTTGTCCTTTTGGCTCTCCTCTTTTAATAATTTTGTTCAATTTCTGAGAAAACGGACTTCACTTCTTTATGGTCGATCATTATTTGTTCCATTGCATGTATTGAATGCAAGGCAATGCGTAAGCTTACTTTCTGGGAATAATAATACACAACTCGTTTATTCTTGATTCTTGATTTAGCATATCGTTCAAAGTAATACTACAGCTGTTTTTCTTCGTACTGCTTACCGATCGCAGCTTTCTTCTCGGATAGGTCTTTCACTATGTCATCTTCCCAGAACGCATCAACTTCAGCTTGAGCCTTGATAGGAGGGACTTGATGGCTGACTCGCGAGCATTTACTACCAGCTGGAAACTGGTTGTGCGACTCCGGAATTTTGATGCAAATCACGCTTAAACCGTATGAAGAGTTGATCTAAACCCGAATATTAATAAGGCTGTCCTTTCCCAAGCGCGGTACTTTGACTGGGCACTATGGCCTAGGCGGAGCAGAGGCAGTTACTACGGCATAAGGAGTGGTCTACTCGGTATGATAAATCTAAAAATAATATGGATTAAGTCACTAAATTTCATATTTAGCAAACCTATTTTCCCGTTCTAAGACATGCCTTTAAATTAAGCGCATGGGTTGTAGGTGTAGTAATCTGCCAAGACCTGCACTCTTCTAAAATATATATCTAATTCACTACCCTCATCTTTTCGAAACTATACAAGTTACTGCGCAATTCCACTCCGCTGCTTCTAACTGTCCAACCATATTTTGAAGTCGAACATCCCTTGCAGCAAATCTCACCTTCGCCGCAAGTCACCAAGGCCCTTGTTCTTTCCAACAGCCATCGTCTACCTTCTACCTCCATGCAAAGAATGTAAACGTTCAGTTTTGAATTAAAACTACCATACCAACTATGTGCACCAGAATTGAGACTCGAATAGACTACCATTTCCCAAACCCAACACTACCCCATACACTATTCCTCCTCTTCTCATCCTGCACTCCACCCTCCACCCACTTCTCACTCCGTTTCTCCACCAAACCCTCCTCCTCCGTAAGCCCAGCAGAATCCAACCATTTCGGCGATACCACACCGCGCGACGAAGTCGAAATCGAAATCGACGAGCGCGGGATATTCAACCCACAATGTCTCTTCAGCAAAGCGCTCATGGACCTCCTATCCTTCTTCTCGGGCTCACATTTCTCACTAGGTGAAAAGCCCTTCTCGGTCGTTGTCGCAGACGAACAACCCAATGCTCCTCCCTTGACCTCATGCCCCATCTCCAAAGGCCCCTGCACCACCCTCCTCGGCGCCTCGACAGGCGACCGACAATCCAATTTCAAAACCGGGCACGGGGCTTTGGACGGTGACCTGGCAGCGCGATCTCGCGGGTGGGAAGTGGTATTCTCATCGAACAAGGTCCGCATATTCCCATTATCTGGTCTCATCTGCATACGGTTTTCCGATGACTCGCTAGGCAAGACGGGCTGCAACGAGTGGTGGACCATTGTTGAGGTTGAATCCAGGCTTATACGTGTCAGTGAGGCTGTTTCCGAGGTTGTTTTGATTAGATCGTTTGAGTCTTCGTCATGGAGCTTGATGCTTTTTGTTGAGAGTCTTTTGGAAAGGCGGCGAATGCGCATGCGGCGAGCCAGAGTAGATATGAAGCCCATTTTGGACTTTGGGAGGTTGGTTTTGTGTGAGGATTTGCGTGTGTGTGGTGGTAGGTATAGGGTTGGATGTGAAATTGGGTGGTTTTGACGTTGAAGATCAGAGGTAGAGTGGTATGGATCGAATAACTGATTGCGGGAGAGGGGGATAGAAACTAAATTCGGCTGCGTTCGATTCTGCTGGAGGTACATTGGACGAGGTATGTTGCTATCTAGATCTTTCGGGGTAATGCTGGTTTATATGTGCGACACAATGGGATTTAATCTATTTGGTTGAGCAGTTGGATTCCGTATATTAACCTCAAACGCACGCGGTCACCCCCAGATCTTCTGATACTCACCATCTACATACTAAAATCTACAGTGAACGCATCCCAAGCATAGTATAAGTTCGTGATAAGGGTTGCTCGGAGACCAATCATGATGAATGATATCATGCACAAAGGCCACGACTCAGGAAGCACAATCGAGAAATTGAAGCTATAACTGAAACAGAGCCAATCGCCTGTACCGGAAATGGTTAGTTTGTTCAAGAATTCCCCAGGGATCGACTACATGCAAGGACGTCTCCACTCTCTTTTTGATCTCGCATGAGACTCCCCGGTTTCGAGAAATTCTCATTGTTTTTTTTTATCGATTCTAGTAACAGAACTTGAAAAAAGGACTCCGTCATGGTGTTGGAAGCATTATTGTTGGAGGTTGGAGTTGGAATTGGAGGAATGCCCGAGTATCCGAGGATCTGCGTGCTTGCAGATCCTTGATATATTGTCATGCACCCTCGCTCAGGAATGCTTATTGACTAACCCTCTTTTGGGAGGGAGTACGTATGTTGTAGCTCTTATTTTAGTAGAGATGGCGTGGATCATGATTACCGTGAAGTGAAGGAAAAAGCCCGGAAGTGTGATTCAAAATGCAAATGTACAAAGATGAAAAACCGAGATCTCAACCAGTTGATTCTATTTGGTCTTTCCAAACAATAAGCTAAACAGACCCCAAACCACATTGGTAATATAAAACCCTTCAAAGCTTGCTAGAAGGGCCATCGGTAAACAAAGACCTAGTCCGGCTCATCGCTTCCAAGGCCTCCTTCTCAATCCGAGTGAGCAAGACCTCGCAAGTCGGGATGTCATGAATCAAACCGATAACCTGGCCAGCAGTCCACACCTGTCCGACGAACAATTAGCAAACACACACGAGACATAGTTTCGGAAGTAACTTACGCCGAAATCAACGTCACCATTAATGAAGACCTCGCGACCCCGCTTGCCGCTAACATAGGGCAAAACATCGCTGAATTCGCCAGTCTTGCTCTCTTGCTCAACCTTCAATGCCTCCTTGGCCACCTTATTAGCAAACAGGCGAGAGGTATTCTTCCACCGACGCAGCACAAGCGCGGTATCAGTCTCATCTGCCGCGACGATAGCCTCTTTGACCTTCTGGTGGATTGGGGCTTCAACGGTGCTCATGAAACGAGTACCCATGTTGATACCCTCAGCACCGAGCGCCAGGGCAGCAGCAAGGCCCTGGCCGTCGGCAAATCCACCCGAGGCGATGAACGGAACGCCAAGTTCCTGGCGTGCACGGCTCAAAAGGATGAAGTTGGTGATATCGTGCTCACCGACGTGGCCGGCACACTCGAAGCCATCGATGGAAAGGAAGTCCACGCCGAGCTTGACGGCGGACTTGGCGTGGCGGATTGTGGTGCACTTGTGCAGGACGATGATACCGGCCTTCTTCAGCTGGGTGATGACGGGACCTGGGTTGTTACCAGCGGTCTCGACAATTTTAATTCCTTCATCTATGATGACCTGGGCATAGGCAGCGTAGTCGGGGGGAACTATGGCGGGGAGGAGGGTCAGGTTCACTCCGAAGGGGTATTTGGTCATGGTGCGACATCTGCGGATTTCTTTGCGGAGGTCCTCGGGGGTTGGTTGGGTGAGCGCAGTGAGCTAGATTATAGTGTTAGATACTGTATGTAGTTCGGACTTTCATTAAAGAGTATAAGACGTACAAGTCCAAGTCCGCCTGCGTTACTAACAGCTGAGGCCAGCTCAGCGTATCCCACCCATTGCATACCACCCTGCACGACAGGCACTATACTTTTGATCAGCAGCTGGAAATATCTGTGGAACAGCATATTCGTAACCCACCTCGAATACCGAGCTTTCGCGTCAAGGCTGTGTTGAAAGGCATCTTATTAAATCGGGGTATCTAATCTGATGATTGCGGAGTCAGTAAGTTCTAAAGAAACAACATGCAACTGAACAGGGACCAGATAATACTAACATGATTTGACTGCTTCTTTGATCGTTTCTCAAAGTATAGGGTCAAGGAGATAATTAAGTCTTTGAGTGAATATGTAAGACCAGATAATCGACCGACATGTCACAGCCGCGGACCTCTCTCCTGTGGGGAAGGTCCGAGGAGCCGAGGTTGCACCTGCGGGCATAATTTTGGATTACTGAGCAGAGCGGCCGATCTTATGTTACTAGGAGCCCTAGAGCCGTTTATTATGCTTGTGAATGATAATCAAGATATTGACCTGTAGACCGATATCAAGCATGGGTCTAAGACATCGGAGGTTGGCCCTGGACGGCCCCTGACATGTGATAGGAAGCAATAACTTTAGATGGTTCAAGACGTCCATCACTATGTTTACAGCTGACAGCATTTTATCGGAGAGACTATTGCTTTTGAATTATTCATGTATTGTAGATAGCTGCATAACTCGAGTGAACATCACAACTGTGCAAAAAAATTAAAATTAAAATGCCTCAGCTGGATACTTCTGCATGGCTCATGCAGACTTTTCCACAATTGCAATGACCTCGTGAACCACTGAACCGTATGCAAAGAACCTGGCAAATTTACAAACATCGAACGATGTGATACATATGGCATGTATCCCTGAATATGAAACCCCTTCCCCTCATTGGTAGAGTGGAACGGGCGATTAACGACGGGACTCTCCTTCTGAGAGCCTCGAGATCCCTCGGCGTCCACGACAGAAAGCCGCAGTCAGTGAGGGAAAGCTAAACACGACGACATCATCCCAGCCTAGGCCAGTAGACGACGTGAGCGGAGACTCTTGAGGAAGAGAAAGAAAGGAGAGCTGCGGACGGAAGAAAATGGGAAAACAGGCGAATAGCCACGTGACTTCAGTAGCGCGTCGGGAAGAACAATACTCCGGCTGGTAATAGATCCGATGTGATTGGCGGATGCTGACTACCGGGTACCAGTCCCGTGACTTAGAACTCCCGTACCCGAGGTCGTCCGTAGATTCCGATCGCTCGCGAGCCACTTGGGATTTCTGATCTTGATCAAACAGAACAATCTCAACTCCGCAATCACAATGTTCTCTCAGAAGGTTGCCCAGCAGTCGCTGCGACGGCGTATGTTTACCCCAATGCCTACATTATCCGAATTTGCGATCTAACTTGTCCCCGGACAGTTGCCGTCCAGCAGCCGTTCGCTATGCGGTCCATGATGGGCGCTTCCCCTGTCGCCGTTGCCCTCGGCAAGAACATGCAGACTCGGTCAGTCACCCAGCGTTAAAATGACAAGTTTCAATTGTTCCGCACACCCTCGAATCAAGCGCCCCTCGCGAAATCCTACGTCATCCACAACCGCCGGAAGTTCATACTAACCAGAGAATGTCTATAGACAAGTTACTTCGACCCCAAACACCGAGGACCCCAACCAGATCCTCATTAAGCAGCGTCTTGCCCGCCCTGTCGCCCCTCACCTTACCATCTACAAGCCCCAGATCGGCTGGATCGGCAGTTCTCTGCACCGTATCAGCGGCGTCGCTCTCTCCGGCACCCTGTACCTTTGGGCTACTGCCTACCTCGTCTCCCCCGCTCTCGGTTGGCACCTCGAATCAGCCTCCATGGTCGCTGCCATGGGTGCTCTCCCTCTCGCGGCCAAGGTCCTTCTCAAGACCACCCTTGCCCTGCCTTTCACCTACCACGGCATGAACGGTCTCCGCCACTTGATGTGGGATCTCGGCCGTGGCCTCACAAACCCTGTCATTATTAAGACCGGATGGGCTGTTGTTGGCCTCAGCGTTGCTAGTGCCGTTGGTCTTGCTCTTATTTAAATGTTTCCGTACTTCATACCTCCGAATTTCCTTATGTGTTATTAAAGTGATTTTTCCTCAAATATACACGAATCTGGTCAATTGGCGCAAGCTCAAAAGGCGCTGATTCTTTTTCTTCTGTTCAACTTTGTTTTCATCTCTATCGGAAGTTGTGTTCTGATTGGCCTAGGTTACTTGCCCGGTTTGAATCTACAAGTACGTTAGTTTTGAGTCTTGAAACAGGATGCTCAACCTAGCTTCGTCTGTCCTTCGTGGTCTACCTTTGGATATGTATTGATGTGCAAATGCAGCCGGTCTTGGTATGGTTTCATTAAGCTATCTTGCTCGACGACGGATATGTGAATGAGAAAAGCACCTCAAGTATATAAACCCGTCACACGAAATTCATATTCACTCTCACAGTTCAGTATCACGCCTTATGCCTTCATTTTATCTCCTTGGGTTCAAGGTTCCTCATTTTTCCACCCGCAATTGATATTGCACTGACAACGATACACATCGCATTATGATATCCCCGTCGCAAAGACCGTAATTGAAATGCCTTGGAGTATGATCTGTAAAGTCAGCACTTGCTCATATTATTCTGTGACTTGGCCAATATATATCTAAGGAATATAGATGTTTCACATGGCTGCATACAACACTCACCTATCGTCCCGTATCGCCTTAACGCCAAACAAAGAAAAGCCAATCAACTGCTATTAAGCAGGACTAGGAGGGGGTTGGGTGGGAAAGGTCGTGGTGAGGGAGGGTCTTGCACCGAGTGGTCACAAGCCGGGATGCTTCCCGCGAAGGTGTAGCATGTCAGGGCTGGCGATGAAGAAGTGACCTGGGAGCCATGGGCAAAAGTAGCGTTGCAATCCATTTGAATATTCAAAAGGCACGAAACGAATGTGGTTATAGTAGAATGGAGCACACGAATCGGGGATGATAGAGAAAGGAAGTATAGATATTCAACGAATGACAGGCAAAGGAGACAAGGCAAAGATCTGTACTGTTCGTAAAAATGAAGACTAGAAATCCGGACAGGTTATTCTCTTCTATTTAAATGATTCGAGAACTCAAGTTTAGCTGGGCACACGCCATCCACACAAGTCGTACACCGCTATCCTGTCGAACATCCCAATTTTGGCGATAGCCATATTCCCGTTGCTATCCGCGGACCTTGGGGGTGGCTTCTATCCGTAAAGATCAATATCTCGGTAGAGTCTGCAAGGGCCCGTCTAAAGACTTGATGTATAAACAGTTAGACAGTACCCGCAGACAGTCACACCCGCTGTCATGAGTACTATGCTTTTTTACTTGTTTCTTTGTTTTTCTCCGGAAGCAAGCATCGACTGGGAATTAGAAGTAGGTCCACTTGAAGAGACCTATGATCTTTCCCTAAAAAGCAAATAGTATAATGTCCGCAATGGACGGGTATAGATCCTTTCCCCCCGGACCGCTGCCCCCGAAGAAGGCTGCAGATGAAGTTTCACCAGCGGTCTGAGCCTTCGGGTTCTTGCAGCCTCTTGAGGAATACTGTTTCACTGGGTTTGTTCTAGATGATTTGCCGTTCGCTAGCTTCCGATGTTATTTACTAAATGGTATTTGGGTTGAGCAGCCGTCTGCTGTTTTCAAAAGTATATGAATTCGAGGCCGTCAAACATCAACTACGTTGTGTTCTTGTTCAACCCTACGACCTTTCGAAGATGATCAAAGAGCCTCTCTCATCCACATAACTCAGTCCTTTTATCTACGGTCCCCACAATGCCCATTGTCGGTTGCCAACTTGCTTGGTCGTGAGAAGAATGTATATGTAATCCGTAGAAGCTTCCAACGACCATAAGAGGCAATATGGGAAAAAGGAAGCCTACCTATGAAACACAGGAAAACAAGACCGAATACAAATACACGTGGATCACGTTTTGCCCTCCGGTACAAGACAGTCTCTTGCCTAATCCAGGGGGCAAGCCCAGGGTACGCTGATACAGCAAAGCCGTTATTCTGCAGTCCAGAGAGGCATAAGTCGTTCGAGCCAACCACTTGTGCCTCAGCCAAGCTTTTCAGCTGCGAATATCCGCAACCAAGCATGCCCAAAAACACTGCTCCGTGCTCCCGATAGCTTAAGCTATGGCCTCCGCATACCCGGCAGGTTTCGCGGAACGACTGCGTTCCGAGAAGGTTACCGAAGCTTCTCTTGAATGGATCTTGATCACCTAGAGCCATTCTGGGTGGTTCTATTTTCTTCTTTTCCACTTTCCACCGTTTCTCTGCAACGGCTAGAGACCTATGTCCCTGATGGTTGGGCCGCCCTCAGGGTCTGTTGCGCCGCTGCTCGCATCGCCCATCAGCCAGTCATATAACTGAATGATGTTACGTGGCAGGACAATTGGACCTATAGCCTATAAGTTAAGAGAGCACAAATTTCCTGTTCATTCATGTAATGGTGATGTTATCCAGAGAAGGATGTTGCTCGACAAAGTAGTGAGGAGATCTGCCAGACCACTTACACGCAGTCGAACCTCGTTTTTCAATCATGGGAGCATGCAGAAAACAGGAATCAAAGCTGCTAGCAATCCGAAGCTGGGGCAAATGCGTATCGTGTACCATAGTGGACCCTACCCAAGTCGAACGGAAGCCTTTATGTGTTGGATCTGGCCCCACAAACAGCGGTATGGTGTATATCGAAGGGTCTCTCATATATATCGTAGCCTAACCCCTAATACAGAATCCAAATCGCAGGGAATCTTAATTAATGTGAGTCATATGCCGTTTTGATCGTACATGCATCGAGGCATGGCAGTCGGAAGTTTGTGTAGGTTTCGCTTCCAGTCACCATAGGCCTGCTGGCCTATGGTAGGCTCCCATGACCGGAATATGCATTAGTCGCTTCGGATCCGATGCACTACAATTCAAGCATTCGAGCAAAAGATACCTCGCAGCAGCGGTGAAGGTCCCGGTTGCTTCCGGCCTCCAAGGTTGTTTAACCGCTTGTCTAACCACCGAGATGACAATTGAAGAGATCTGAGGCCACCCAACAAGATTTTATGAGAAAAACAATGATGTAAAACAGACCAAGGTGTGGAGAACAGTCAACATAGACCTCATGGGTCTGGTGTACTTGAGGCCATATCCGGCAGTATCACACCGCCAATGCCGAATTCTTTGCTTTCCGTTCGATCAACTCCGAGTTGACACGCAGAGACCACCGACCCCATGTCTTTGAATCTTTCTTCCCGAGCGGCCAGGACTGCCTGCGCTGCATCCAAATTTGTCGCTCGTCCAATTGCGGGAGTCATCCCATCCCGCACCTTCGCGACCTCTACCCCGGAGGAGACAAGTCAACAAGAAAAGCCCCGATGGTCCTACACTCCCGCGGCGGCAAAGGCCCCGTTCAGTCTGCACCTTGACTCCAAGCGCCCAACCTTCCACGTCAATGCAGACCCGCAGCTGCTCGACCGGTTCTACATCCGCTTGTTCGGCAATGGCGGCGACAAACTCCTCTCCGATGAGACCAAGTGGTTGGCAGTGACACATAAGAGTTTCGACCAAGGGCGCCGCGGATTCAACGATCGATTGGCCTTTTTGGGAAAACGCATTGTGCAGCTGCAAGCATCGCTGGCTTTGGCGCAGGATGCTCCATACGCAGGTGCCACACCGGTAGAGAAGAAGGACGAGTTTGGTCGCGTGCCTTTCACCCACCCGGCTCTAGATGGATTGAACAACCTCTCTGCTGAGACCAAGAAGATCCTCACCGAGCGGTCGAAGCTCGCTGATCTTGCAAACAAGTACGAGTTGCAGAAAGTTCTCCGATGGAGTCCCAGAATGGTATGTCTCGAAGGCTAGTCTTTGTGTTATGATCACCAACTAACGAATGTCTTTACTGCAGCCCAACGATCTCCGTGCCTCCGGTATTGAGCTCGTTCTCGCACATACCATGTACGCTATCGTCGGCGCTGTTTCGTTAGAGAAGGGAGGAGTCGTTGCCACTAAAGTGGCTCGTGAGCGGATACTTGAACCCCTGGGACTTAAGTCGGTCTCGTAAGGGTCTGAGACGGGGTATTGGTCTCCTTTGGAGCATTTTCAGGGCGTTATTTTGTTAGATATTTCCATCTGTGGTAGGTTGACTGGGGAGCGAACTCCCCAATCAGGGAACCTCTACGATTGTACATGTACTTTTAAACAGACTTGTTTTTTTATATCAATTTACTTTTCAGACCGAATCCCACTCGCCAAGTCCCCAACAATGTCCGAAAGAGTTGGAGCAAATTACGATAAAGAGTAAAAGTCTAGGTACAATTTACAAGATGTGATTTTATAGAAAAAAAAATTCAATTTGAAGTTATAGGAATGTACGGTTCCTCTGACGCCGCCCGAGTAACAGAGAAAGTACTCGGCCAGCTCTTATGGAACCCTCGTAAGATCGTAGTCTCCGCGCCTCTGTATCGCAAGGTAGTTATCAATACACTACAGTACTCTGACAGAATGCCGGAGTAGCTGTAGAAAATCACAAGGACTTTGTACTGCCTTGAACTGTCTATTGGGAGCGTTGAAGAAAGAAGAAAATGAAAAGTGCGCGGCGAGCTTTTATGTGTGAATTTTAGACGCTAGTCCAACTGGAGGTTAGCGTCTATCTCCGGTCTTGGACATGCGGGCATCACAATCATCCGCTAATCTACTCCTTTCATTTCTCACCTCATCTGCTATTTCATTTGTTCTTACTGATTTATTGACAATGCTGCAGTAGGCGCATAAGGTGGCTTTGTTATTTTTTGCTTTCGCCCCCCCCCCCCCCCCCCCCACCGTAAAGAGACCAGATCATCACCAACTCTCCTGTCACCTATTTACCCCCATTGACACGTCATGGCGTCGGCACTCTTCTTCCTCGACCTCAAGGGCAAGGTACGCTATTGGAGCTAATGCAAAACATGGCGATACGATTACCTGATGGGAAAATCGCCAATGCGTCCAGGGACAAGCCCCCGCTGACCATGTATAGACCCTTCTGGCCCGCAATT